AATGAAAGTAGTGGTCCCCTGTAGTTGTGTCACTGGTGTTACCGTTTAACAAAAATCTTTTATTTTAAAATAAATGTCACACTGATGACATCACTTGACTTCCTTCCTCCTCCTGAAGATAGATCTATGAAAAAAGGCCCATGTGAAGTCCACTTTCTCTTTTCAGTTATCAGAAATGTTCTCATTTATCACATGTGGTTTGATACCTTGCAGCAGACATTTTGTAAAATGCATTTTTCATGAAAATTGTCACTGGTGTTACCGTTCTAATGGGTAACACCTGTAAAGATCAGTTTACGTTGATGCTCTTTTACTAACTGCTTTCACTGATTGCCAAATGTAACAATTTAGTCTTATCTACTTAATTGTAGTTAAAGAATAAGGATCTTTGGTCTTATGTATGTCACTGGTTTTTCATATTGTCACTGGTGTTACTTTTTTTCTGTCAGATTAAATAAAACGCGACACATGTGACATGATAATAATTTTACATCCATTGAATTCTGCTTCACTCAAGAGTTAAGATGTAAAGGATTGCATCATTACTTGTTTATAACAGTTTTTACAAATATTTTCATTGTTATAGCAAACACATGGTTGCGTAAAATGAACTAACATCATTCAAAATTTTAACAAACCTGATTAAAATAAATAAAACATAATCTCCTTATTTGTTGCATTATCGTCATTTTTCTGTAACTCTGACTACATGTGCTAAAAAAATGAGAAATAATATTTCATAAAAACCTTTAACTTGTTTATAACAGTTTTTACAAATATTTTCATTGTTATAGCAAACACATGGTTGCGTAAAATGAACTAACATCATTCAATCACAATTTTAACAAACCTGATTAAAATAAATAAAACATAATCTCCTTATTTGTTGCATTATCGTCATTTTTCTGTAACTCTGACTACATGTGCTAAAAAAATGAGAAATAATATTTCATAAAAACCTTTAAACACCAGTGACAAAAAAATGGTACATGTGGTCTTTAAATAAATGCACAAAAAATAAAAAAAATCAGTAAGCTGTCATTTATGTGTATTCATAAATTCAAAGGATAATATAATAATGTGGTCTAAGTTTAAATGTAAAAAAAAAAAATACATTTCAAGACATCTTGCCATACCAAAAGTGGACATTTCTGTAGAATGACCCGGCAATGAAAAGAACCTCATTCCCATTAAAGTGAAATTACTGAACCTAATCATAACAAAAGCTTTTTTTTTTTTTTAATGCTCATAAAAATAAAATAAATTGAATTAGACAGACATAAGGCAAATATTTTGTTCACACAATAGGCCTATTCTTTTCAACTTCTGCAAAAACTCAGAAGTTTTTGCATCTGAAATCTTCACATGCATTTCGTATTACTGAACTGCAGTTATATTGTATCTGTACATCATTATACTGCGAATCTACAGTTGTACTTCATTGTCCTGCAGTTTTACTACTTTGTACTGCAGTTGTACTTCAATGTACTGCAGTTATATTTTGTAGTCCCACCCCCCCACTCTATTTCCCCGTATTATTTCCCTCCTCTCGCCGTTATTTCATCTCACCGCTTCACGCTCCAGTCCAGCGTGCGGCGCTAAACACATGCGTTTGTTTGACGAACACCATTAAACCTCAGATGAAGAAGATTAGTTTCAGCTGAGCAGAGTCTTCTGAGGGGTGGCTCTGGTGGTTGTTTTTTATTTATTTAAAAAAAAAAAAAATTTTTTATTGAAGATATAACATTCACAGGGGATACAGTCATAGCAATAAATTACATACACAACCAGAATACAGAACAAATATATAAAGAATAATAAAAATGAAATAAAGAACAAAATAAAAAATTAAACATCTTTTCTTTCCTTTTTATAAATAAATCATAAATTAAAATAAAAAATAACGTAAATGGAAAATTACACATAAAATGTCAACTTCAAAGAATACACAGGAGGTTTACATCAAAGTCAATATTTTTTCCATCAATACAGTAGTTTTAACAGCTTTCTTATTAAGTGATGAGCAGAGAGATTCATAAAATACTCAACCTGTTGGAGGTCAGCAGTACTTTTATATCTACATTAAGATACTTAAGTTGCATTTTCTATTCTGAAATGTTTTAAAAGTGAACCTCTGTTAGAGTGCTGTTTCTGTAGTTTATATCTGATTTAAGATATGTAACTTGCATTTGCAGTTCAAATTGTTCAAATCAAGCCGCTCTGTTGTAAGCTCTCCTTAACTGATTTTATATCTGTTTTAAGGTACTGATGTTGCAGTTCATTTATAAGTTACGTTTTCCAAGAGAACCTTGGGGTAGAGGTTTTGCCACAGTAGGTATTTGACCATGTTAATTACAACAATAAAAACAAAACTTAAGTCATTGCTTTTGTTTTATTTTCATGCCAAAGGCGTTTAGTCACGCATTTACCACATTAGTGTTATATATATATAAATTAAAGCTAACAAAAATAATTAAATTCTTTGTTTAATCTCCGTGTGGTAAACACTGATCAACTTCACAATAGTTAAATGACACCATAAACTTTAAAGACTTATTCAGGAAGCAGCTGCACAAAATGTAACACTGATAAGTAAATATCTTGGCCAAAGTCTCTGGACTGTGAGACTGGATTAATGGTTGTCCTGAGTCGAGCCATTTCATACTCTGAGAGCAGACACTCCACCTGAGGGACCACTACTCCAGTGTTCTGCTCCTCCAGTGGGTAAGTGCCATCTTGCACCAAAATGTTGAGGTCCTGGATTAAAAAACAAAATGAAAATAATAATAATTGAACAGTATAGACAAAACATATTGTATTGTGCTTTTTTTTATTCATTACAATCATACCTCCATGTCACATGAAACATTGACTGGATTCTGTGCAACTCCTATTTCCCACAGATGATTGGGGGAAAGATTTTGCTCCGTACGGATGGAATGGTCATTCCATGCATCAGTGAAAATATCTAGGTCTCTTTGGAGACGTGGAAGAAAAACATAATGTGCACAGAAGAGATGAATGGTGTTTGATGGATCAAGAGAGCCACTCTCTTCCAAATTATGTAGAACATCATAATACAAGTTTGAAACAGACATCCACACATCTTTCCACAGCCGTTCGACCCTAAATGTAAGAGACAAAACAACCTTATTTCTTAGTCATTTATAATTCAAAAACTTGAACAAATGTATTACTTGCACTAAAGTAACAAGAAATTACCTTTGATTATGAACGCTCTTCCCCGAAATGAAACTTCCCCTGCCACAGCCCTGAACAGTGAACATCCACCTTGCAATGTCCACATTTTCTACACCTTGGTCTGCTCTTACCCTACACATTAAGACAGTACATTTAACATTAACACTACACAGTAAGGTTTGACAAAACATCCTATGATGTTGGCTTAAGAAAGCCTGGCCAGAAAGTTAATTAAATGTAATATATTGAAGTTTGAAGCTGTTTTAAATGCTTGGTGAGGGTTTTAAGACCATGCAGTCAGTCAGTCAGTCTGTATAGATAGATAGGTAGGATGTACTCAAATGTACATACATACCGTGAAGGAACTCCATGCTTTTCTACTGCCTCGAGGAAGAAACTTAGAGCAGTCTCTGCTTTGTTGTTGGTTGCAGCCCCCAGATACATGACCTGATAAAATAATTTAGTGAAGTTATTGGCATGTTACACAATTATTCCATGATTGTATCACACACACAGGAGTCACACAAATAAAGATCCACCACTAACCTTTCTTGAGTAGCCATCTATGCCCCCAAATATTACTAAGCCATATCTGAATACAAAAGGGAAAACATCTTATGCACACAGGCACCTTTAATAACATAAGATATCTTGCTGTACAACAAGTGACTAATACAAAAATTATTTAACCTACCTGATCAGCTTGTGGTTGGTGTCCACATGCATGAGGGACAGAGGGGCCTGAACTGAATATGATCTTCTCACAACATGTCCAAGTTGTGACATTCTAGCAAGGACTCCGGCTGAATCAACTCTATTCATAGAGTCGCAGACTCTGCTCCACTGGACTCGATGACCAAGAGCTTTCAAGTTCCCTCTCATCATTCTGTAGCCTGAGTGTGGTGATGTTGTTTTGATTGCAACCACAAGATTGTCTAACTCTTCGTCAGTCAATTGACTGTATGTTCCTCTCACTGTTATACCAAACTCTTGCATTCTGTGTTCTATGGTTCGTGTTGACATGCCAAGCAGTTTTGAAATGCAAGGTACAGTCAGACCAATTTCAATCAATCGTCTGAGGTGCTGCTCAGATACAATGGTTTTGGGACGTCCCGTTGGTCCAGCAATTTCATTCAAAATCACTGAAGAGGTACGTCTTGTGTCCAGGCGATTAGAAAGAACAGAACACAGGTTTGAAAGAAAGTGCATTACCTCTTGAGGTACATGTTGACGACTTGTATGTGAAGTGATCAAACTTAAATCATTTGTGCAAATAAAATATAAATAATCCAGGTCTAGAGGCAAGCGCTGCATGGCCTCCTGTAGTCGTGACAAGAGTCTCTCTAAAAGCAGCCTTGACACTGCCTGTGAATATACATAAAAATATTAAGTAAAATTATCAACATAAATTAAAGCAATCAATTAATTCTTTGCACCTAAACCGAAATCCTCATAACTGGCATAATTCACAAAACAAACATATCACCTTTCACCCACTAACAAAATATTTATGGCTAATTACCTGAGATTGTCTGGCATTTGCCTGCTGACGCTGGTTATCCATCTTCACACGCCTGCCACTAATTCTTTTCTGTTTGAGCACTTCAGATTTTTTTGCGTCAGCCCAAACACGATCACGGTGAGACCGCGAGAGGAACTGTACAGTTATCGTGCGAGGGCGTGCATTGCCCAATTTAGGGGAAAAGAAAGAAAATCTGGAGTAATACATCTGAAACTGACAGTGAAAATGGAAATCATCCGATAAGAGGAAAGAAAGAGGAGTTCAAGGTAATGATGAAGTTTATGGATGAGTCTTTTAAGATAATAAATCCACTGAAGCTGTCTAAAGTAATTAAGGAAATGATAGGATCGAAAGAAAGTGTCAAGAAGTTGAGAGATGGAAGACTAATCCTATATTAGTCGATTTGTGCACAAAAAAGTGATCTGCTCGATACCGGAAGAAAAGAAATGGGTCAAAGGAGTAATAACTGGTATCCCAACTGAAGTGACCGTAGAAAAGATCAAGAAAAGTCTAACTGGGGCGGCAGTGATTGAGGTTAAAAGACTGAAATACAGCAGAAATAATGAAAAGGTTGATAGCCTTTCAGTAATGATTCACTTTGATGAGGATAAATTACCGGACAAAGTATTCTTAGGATTCATTAGCTTCCCGGTCAGACTTTATGTTCCTCCTCCGTTAAGATGTTTTAAATGCCAAAAATTTGGTCATGTGGCAGCTGTTTGCAGAGGTAAACAACGATGTGCAAGGTGTGGCGGTGAGCATGAATATGGCAAATGCGGACAAGGAGTTAACCCAAAGTGTTGTAATTGTGGAGAAGAACATAGTGCGGGTTATGGAGGATGTAAAGTGAGGAAGCATGCAACACAAGTGCAGACTGTAAGAACAGAGGAGGGATTGCCATATTCTGAGGCACTCAAACCAACAAGCTTTAATGCCATTCAGGGAACAAGGAAAACACACGTAACACGGGTAGACATGTACAATACCGGACGCTGAACTAAAGACAGGGAACACTATTTAAACACATGACAGGATGAGGAGAGGACGAGACACAACTGGGATCAATGGAAATAAAACGCGGAACACCTGGAATCAAATCAACATAATCAGGACAGGAACAGGAAACTAACCAAATATGGGCATAGGAAGGTACATGGGGAGCAAGACACACACAAAACACGGAACAAAGTCTGGCAATAACATTAATTTTCTAAAACTGGTAAAAGAAAACATTTATTTTCCCGGATTGCTCTAGTTTAACATACAGTTCTGCTCAAAAGTTTACCCCTTGCAGAATCTATGAAAATGTTAATAATTTTAACAAAATAAAAAGGCTCATAAAAAAATGCATTTTATTTTTTATTTAGTACTGTCATGAATAAGCTACTTCACATAACAGATGTTTACATATAGTCCACAAAACAAAATAATCACTGATTTTTATAAAAATTAAAAAAGACCCTGTTCAAAAGTTTACATACCCTTGATTCTTAATACTCTGTGCTGTTACCTGGATGATTCATGACTGTTTTCATGTTTTGTTATAGTTGTTCATGAGTCCCTTGTTTGTCCTGAGCAGTTTCCCACTTCACTTCCCACTTCAGAAACTGTTCTTCAGAAAAGAATCCTCCAGCTCTTGCACATTCTTTGGTTTTCCAGCATCTTCTGCATATTTGATTTCCAGCTGTGGCTGTATGATTTTGAGATCCATCTTTTCACTCTGAGGACAATTGAGGGACTCATGCACAACTATTACAAAAGCTGCAAACATTCACTGATGCTCAAAAAGGCAAATGATGCATTAAAATATTTTTTTGCTTTGATGGCTGTATTAATTATTAATTTATTTTTCATTTTTTTGACTAATAAAATCAGTTAAGAAAATAATTTTAATTGGCTTTACATATCAGGGAATAAAAAGTAATAATTAATGATTGCAAATTCATCACAAAATTAACAATCATAAAAGTTTTTGAGTTACAATTCAGTATATTCTTCTTCCTGTCATTCCATTTCAAATCGAGTTCAACATCCTGTGAGTGTGTCCATTCAATTCAAGAAGTGAACAAATTCTTACATTTTGAATTTTGGCCAGTCCTGGTGTGGTGTCTGTGTGTTTGCCTGTATTGGGGTGTGTGGTCAGCTCATCGCTGTGCTTTTGTAGGTCTTTCATGCAGGTGCACTGGAGAAGAGATTGACTTGGATTCAAGCTCACAAGTTCTGCCAGAAACATGGAGCTCAGCTTGCCAGCTTCAGTACGCCAGAGGAAGAGACCTATGTCTTCCAGATCCTCCATGAGGCTTTCGGGTACGTTTCTAAAATCCAGCCCTAAAGCAACACTGTGTGCGTTTGTAATGAATGAGGGCATGATTTGTGTGAGAATTATTAAAATTTCCTTTATTCATCAGTTTTTACTCTCAGATACCCCTAGACAGAATATTTTGAGGTTATGTTTATGTTTAAGATAAGTTAAGACTTTGAACCGGATGCCTCTTGTGGGCCTGTTAAAGGTATAGCAGTGTCTAACAGCTCTGTTTGGGCAGGGAGGCAGAGGATCATGAGCAGCACTGGCTGTGGATCGGAATTTCCCGCAGGAATAGTGACAGTTGGACATGGGGTGATGGATCAGCTGTGAGTTTCTTAAAATACTGTTAATTTTTATTGTATTTCATTGTACTACACCAGTGTGTATGTGTGTATATATATATATATATAACATTGATGGCTATTTTAATAATAGTTCATGATGATTAATGATATTCAGTATGATTTAAGAGGAACACATTTCTTTTTCGATTATTTGTCATATAAGACAAATAAATAAATAAATAAAAGTTGGAAAACACTGTACTAGATATCCATAGAGCAGGTGTTGTCAACCTTTTTGACTCCAAGGCCCCCATATTAATATTTGAAGGCCCAAAATGTATTTTAATCAATTGGTAGTCCTACTATAGTTATTATAGTTATAGTTACAGTATCTAAATTAAAAAGCAATATAATATAATAATTATAATTAAAATAATTACATTTCAGGATTCCAAAACTTAAATGTTCATAATAAATGTAATCTATTTATTAAAAATATTCAATATATTAAAAATAAAATATTTTAGAGCTTTGCATAACTGGTAACATTTATATTCATTATAAAAATGCCTATCGAGAATTTTTATGACTTTTCCAGGTCTAGAACTATTAAAATCAGGCTTTCTCACATATCCAGGTTTTCCAAGACCATGAGAATCCCAATTCTTCAAAGATAAAAGCAGCATTTGAATGGGTAAATCAAGATAAGGAAGATCATGATATAGTTTTTAAGGTTTTAAAGGACACATATTATGCCCGTTTTTACAATATGTAATATAAGTCTCTGTTGTCCCCAGAATGTGTCTGTGAAGTTTCAGCTCAAAATACTCCACAGATAATTTATTATATCATTTTGAAAATGCCTATTTTGAGTGGAAGTAGAAACACGCTGTTTTTCGGGCCTGGCTCTTTAAATGCAAAAAAGCTGCTGCTCCCCGCCCCTTTTCCAGAATAGAGCTGCGCCATTTTTCAGACGCTTGCAGAAAAAGGCTAACCAAAACAAAGTTACTGGGTTAATCTTTCCTTGGTTGGTAGATGCACCGGGGACCTGATTATAGCACTTAAAACCTGGAAAAGTCAGATTTTCATGATATGTCACCTTTAATTCTTGTTTTGTCTCATTTTAAATAATTTTAAGTAATATTGAGGGCACTTTGTAAGTATGCTGATGCCCCCTAGTGGTCCCTGGCCCCCTGGTTGAGAACCACTGCCATAAAAAAAGATCTTTCACTACTAGCGCAAATATCAAAGTAGCATGGTTTTGTTTTGTGCTTCCATTTCTTTAACATTGTACCTACATAACAGCTTTTTGTTAGCAATTCTAACATGTAAAAGTCTATTTTTTTTTCTCTTTCAGGTGACGTATCAGAACTTTGGCAGGGGGAATTATGGGTCTGCTGAGTGTGGAGCAGCTAACATGGCTGACACCAACTGGCTGGTATCACACTGCGAGTCTGAGCTAGACTGGATCTGCAAAATACCGAAAGGGAAGGTAGAAGAGGAACCTGAGAGCCATGAAGGTCTGTCGCAGTGCACTCTTTCTTGCCTTTGAGAATATAAGACTGTAATATTATCAAAAGAAAAAGCGTCACAAGTTTGTTTGTGAGCTGAATATGATTTTGAATCTCAGTAATGTGACATTATTGTACATTTGTGTGTGTAGACACTGGTTTAGAGTGGGTTGATTTTGAGGAGGCCCAGTATAAAATGTTTGAACATCGCTCCACGTGGGACCAGGCTCAGAGGATCTGCTCCTGGTTCGAAGCCTCCCTGGTCTCCATGCACTCTCCTAAGGAGAATCAGTTTTTGGTTAGCACTTTACGCAAGGTAAGCACACATAGCAGACACAACCAAACACTCTCCTCTAAGAGGTCTGCTTATGACATTAAATTAACAACAGTTAAACCATCAGTTCACCCACAAAGGTAAGGTACAAAAGGTGTAAGGTACAAAAGCTGTGGCGGTACCTTGTTAAAAGGCACACTTCTGTACCTTATTTACCCCTAAATGACACATATTAGTACCTTAAAGGTACATATCAATAACTAAAGGATACAAATTAGTACATTTTCAAAGGGTACAATACCAGTGACAGATTTTGTACCTTTTTCTCTGAGAGTTTATAAGTATCATAAAAGTATCATTTTGTGTGTCTCAGAACATAGAAAGTAATATGGAGTTGGAAATGAAAAAGTAAACTGTCAATTTCATTTTGGGATGGGTTTATTTAAGGCTATATGCGCTTAATCTTAATGCTATATAAAATGTATTTACAATGCTAACCAAGAATTGCATGTTAACTGTGTCCAGATGTCCCGCAAAGAAAATGACCTACGGTGGATTGGTTTACACAGTTTTAAGAACGACGGGAGATTAAGGTGGTCTGATCATTCTGTGCTCAATTATGTGTCCTGGGGACTAGGACAGCCTCGACCAATTAGCAAAGAGCCCAAATGTGTCCAAATCTCCGCCTCAAAAGGTTTGTTTACTTTTACACCCACATATACTGTCGCTTTGGATAAAAGCGTCTGCTAAATGACTAAAAGTAAAAAGTAAAAGTAAAAATATAAAATCTGAAAATATGTCATCTCCACCTTGAATTTGACATGGACCAGTTTTGACTGCACAATTTAAATAAACTTAAAAAGAGTGCACAGATTTAATGTTCAGAATTGTTGAAGTTATTTTGGGGAATGATATGTGATTGAACAGCAGTGAGTTTAGTAATTACTTTAATGTTCTCTCAGGTGACTGGTCAGACCAGAGGTGTCACATCGATCTGCCATATGTGTGTAAGAGGGTGAATGTGACGGGTACTATCCCTCCCACACCTGCTCCTCCTCTCATACCTGCCGGCTGCCCCCAGGGCTGGAGTCCTTTTCTACACAAGGTGAAAATTCACTCCCACAGCCTATCTGCTTTTATACATTATTACACTTGCAAGGATGAAACAAAGTTTTTCTTTTCTACAGTCTTTTGCAGTTAGCTCAGTTTGGATTCAAATTTAGTTTTGCTGATTATTTGGATAATAAAACCTTTTTGGATCATCTGTTTTTTCTATACTGTATATAAACTTTATACATTTTATATATTTTTTAAAGAAATGTAAGATTACATTGACTTAAAAGTAATTGCAATCATTTTGGATCATCTGTTTTTCTATACTGTATATAAACTTTATACATTTTATATATATTTTAAAGAAATTTAAGATTACATTGACTTAAAAGTAATTGCAATCATTTGTCTTTCAAAGTCTACCTAAAACTCATTGTGAAACAGTCTCACATTTTATTTTACTTTTGTAATGTGACATATTTCTATGTGAAATGGGATATTCATTGAGAAATATGTTAGGCGGGACTTGATTTTGTCAGGAATTGATTAGATCAAGAAAAGTTATCTATATTTGACAGATTTTTTGGAGAGGAGGGGGTGTAAAAATCAGATTGCTTGGCAACGGCAGCCAAAAGGGAAAATTATTCTTGTGATGAAGCAAGATATTACATTTTGATTACTTTTTTTTTTTCATTTGGAATGTAAGAAAATACAGCTCTAGCAAAAATTATCATTTTTAAAATGACTTTCTTACAGAAATATTCACGTTGCACATTTTCTTACGTCAGTAATCTCTGAATTCTGTTCTTTTTCCTCGTTCTAACAGTGTTATAAGGTGTTTGGAGAAGAGCTGTCGAGTCGTAGCACTTGGGAATCTGCATCCAAGACGTGTCTGACACATAGAGCCACACTAGTGACAGTGTCAAACCACAGGGTTCAGGGTAAATCAAACTCAGACACACACACACACACCACAGAAGGGAAGCTAGGCTACATTAAATTGATAGTTCACCCAAAAAAAGAAAAGTACAAAAAATGTGAAAGTATAAGAATCATAGACAACTTTTATGAATATTGGGACTGACGTGCTCCAATGTGTGTGGCGCTTACGGCCCTCAATTTGTGTTGCATTAACTTGTGTCAGTGGAAACTGACTAAGCTCTGCATTTGATCTATTTCTTTCTCTCTCTTATTAGCATTCCTTGTGACTCTGCTGCCCAACAGCAGTTTCCATGTGTGGATGGGGCTCACTTCAGAATCACAGGCTCAGTTCAGGTGGTTTGAACCTGGCTTGCTTAGCTACACTAACTGGGCCCCTGGAGAACCAGTGGACAACAGACAAATGAAAAGCCCGGTACTGGATCTGTCTGTCTGTCTGTCTACATTATCTATCATGTATAAATTCAGACATCCACCAATCAATCTGAGTGTGTGTGTGTGTGTGTGTCCCATTAGGGTAACTGCATAGTGCTTCTCCATGGTAATCCTCCCCGAATGATGGGCATGTGGGCGTCTCGCAGGTGTGATGCAGAGAAACACGGCTTCATCTGCATGAAAGATAAAGGTACAGGAATATCTCAAATTCACATGCTCACACAAATATGCATTGTATTATATACCCTGAACCACTAAAATACCCTGTGTGCATGTGTTTCCAGACCCTGCCTTGCCCCCTGGTGTGGACTCTCTTCCCCCATCATTAGATGGCCCATTAGAATTTGATGGCGTGCAGTACCGGATTTTGCAGAAGCCTCTGAACTGGCGTGGAGCACTGTATTTGTGTGACTCCATTAATGGAACACTGGCAGCGGTACGGGATCCTCGGCAGCACGCCTACCTCATCCTCCTCCTCAGCACGTTCCGCAAACCCTCCTGGATCGGACTACACAATGACGGGGTGAGACATTGTGTGCGTGTTGTATGTCTCTTCCTCTGACATGTCAGAGCTTCAGCAAAAGCTTCTTGTATTTCCAGGCTCGGAGCTACACATGGTTGGGTGAAGAGGAGCTCACATTCAGTGACTGGCGGGATGGAGAGCCTAATCAAATGTATGGATGTGGTCACATGACCGTTGAGGGCCAGTGGACTGTGGCTGCTTGTAATACAAAATTAAACGCCATCTGTGAAATTAACAAGGGTAGGAAAATGTTAGAATATGCTTCTGAATACTACCATACTACTAGTACTGTTTGTGTGGTATGCAGTATGTACATTTTGTGTTTGCATTGAATTTCCAAATGAAGTAGCCTACAACACTGACTGAAATGTGCAGTATGCATCCAAGGTTGACTCATTATTTAATTGGGACGCAGAGTTTCTATGCTATTTTATATAATAACAGGCAATATTCAGTGTATACCAGATTTATTTTAGAATTATTTATATACTATTATAACATTATTATAACATTTCTAAAAGTTTTTTTTTTAAGTTCAAGTATTTAATCAAATGTTCACATTTATTTTATTTCAACTATACTTCAATTACCAAAATTGATTTTTATTAGTTTTAGTTTTAGTTAACAATAACAGCAATGGCGCATACAGTTCTGGTATTCTATTTTAGATGTAACTTGTGTGTTTGGATCTGTCTGTGGTGTTATTTTTGCACAAATTTTGCAGGTGTGTTCTAATAGCCTTTTGGTTGTTCTGTTCCTGTGTCAGAGAGAACAATAGACCACAGGTGGATGTATCCGGGTTTTTGCCCAGAGCCTGTTGGTAATTGGTCCTGGGTTCCTTTCAGAAATCACTGCTACTCGTTCATCCTCCACGAGCTGCAATTTAAACATGAGGCCATACGCATGTGTAACAAAGGTAATGTCCACATACAGGAAAAACCAACAAAATCGGCACAGGAACATATCACACACAATAAACTCAAGTAATCTTGTTTTTTCCTTTCTTAGTGGGAGCTAAGCTGTTGTCAATATTAGATGAAAACGAGAACAGTTTTGTATGGGAGCACATGCAAAGTTTTCAACAACAGGCCCACGGCGCTTGGCTTGGAATGATCTTTAACTCCAAAGGCAAGAAGTTTAATGAATAACACTTGTTTCCTTTATTGACCTGCAATTTGGATCTCCTTTATCCAGACCTGTGTGTATGTGTTTGATTCCACAGAAGGCAGTCTGGAGTGGTCAGACATTCAAGTAGTGGACTACAGTAACTGGGAGCAGCAGGACGCTAATCTGAGCATGCTGTCTGCCAACAGCTGCTTCTGGGTACAGAGCAACACAGGCCTCTGGAGGGGTCCTGGGTCCTGCAAAAACCGCACACATGGAGTCATCTGTAAACAACCACGAGGTATGGAACGTCACATACAGTGCCCTCCACTAAAATTGGCACCCTTGGAAAATATGAGCAAAGGCGGCTGTGAAAATAAATCTGCATAGTTTATCTTTTTGATCTTTCATTAAAAAAATTCACAAAATTCTAACCTTTCATTGAAGTAAAACAATTGAAATTG